TTTATTTATTTATTTATTTACTAAATTAACGCCCCAAAGGGCAAGAGTACAGTTAATAAAACTTAAACTAGACATCAATAAATTTATAGCATACAATTAATTATAAAAACAAACAATATAAGTAAAGATTCTTAACTATATAATCGATCTCTTTATTATATCTAAAGAATTAAAAAAGAAGTCCACTTTATGACTAACTTCATTACATTCTAATAACATACGATTGACCGGAGCAAAAAGATTATAGTTCTGTTGGACAGGAGAAACATAAAACATCGTTTGAGACCGTAAATGGACTGAAGGAACATTAAAAGGAATAATATCAAGAATTTCTAGACAGTCAATTTTATTATTTAATAAACTATGGATCCAACTAACGTCAAAAATTTTCCGCCTCATACTCAGACTGGTTAGTCCAATATCTAAAGCTACTACATTTGAATCAACTTCATTAATATCGTATTTACCTACTTTTACTACTAACATACGTAGAAAAAGTTTTTGTAATTTTTCCAGTTTATTAGTAAGATTAGCTTGATATTGTGACCAAATGATTGACCTATATTCGACTATGGAACGCACTAAAGAACAATATAAAACTTTTAAACAAATAGGATTAGAAAACTCACAGCAATTTCGCTTAAGAAAGCCCAACATCCGTAGTGCTTTATTATAAATAAATGAATTGTGTTCAGTAAAAGATAAATCCGAAGAAAGAATTACACCTAAGTATTTAATATGAGAAACATTTATGAGATTAGACTATTTATATTATATGCATATAGTCCATATGAACGCTTACGACAAAAAGTGATCTGAGCACATTTAGACACATTCAAGCATAAACCACCATTAACAACACACCAATTATAAAATCTGCACAAGTCTGCTTGGAGATTATGACTGTCATGAACTGTACGAATGTTCGAATAAATTTTTACATCATCGGCAAAACACAAATAGCTTGAATGTTGAAAGACATCAGAAAGATCGTTCATGAAAATTAAGAAAAGTAATGGAGATAAATGTCCTCCTTGAGGACCCCCAGAGGGGATATGGTTAATGGAAGAGATAATATTATTTATCTTTACTTGCTGCTGTTTGCCTGTGAGATATGAAGCTAACCATTTAAGTAGTGGGTCTTTAACGCCAATATGTTTTAATTTATCAATCAATACCTTGTGATTTACTGTATCAAACGCTTTTTTCATATCAGTATAAATTGCACCTACTCGACCACCATTTGCAACAGTGGAAACAATATTACTATAAAACACAAGCAAGTTAGTAATAGTTGATTTAGAACTACGAAAGCCATGCTGGCAGTTATTCAGCACGTTTTTAAAACTTAATGATAACTCGGGCTCTAGAAGTTTCTCAAATATTTTCGGCAGCACACTTAATTTAGAAATAGGTCTATAATTACCCATATCAGACTTGTCACCTGATTTAAAAATAGGGATAATATAACTTGATTTCCATCGTACTGAAAAAACACCCGAAGACAATGACAAGGAAAACAAAAAATTGGTTTGGACGAGTAAGCGGATAACAACAAGAACAAAAATGATGCCAGGGATAAGGTCAGGACTGTAAGTAGTGCCCGTATTTCGTTGCAGTTCTTCAAACAATTTTAGAACCGGGATCTCACATGAGGCTACACTAAACGAAGAGGGTAATCTATACTAGTATACGTTGATCGGACGATTTGTTTCGAAACAGAATAATTAGAAGCAAAGAACTCACTAAACATTTTATACAATTATTTGTTATAAAATTATTTTATTAATGTCATTAGTACATTTTCGTTACTATGTTATAA